TATATGTAAGGGTGCCATTTTTGAGTCAATTTGCAAACTGTTGTATTTTCTTGTAAACTTTGTTTAAATCTCCAATATTTTTCCTCAAACTGTCTTGGTGTTGAACTTTTTCGGTTGGATGGTAGCTATTACTGTCGAGCTTACTAACTTGACATTCTTGTTTTACATACAGTTTCTTACCTTTCATAAGCGGAGAAGGTTCTAGTACTGTAAGTAAGGAACTCTGGAAGACCATGCTGATGGTTCGCAGCACGAAAACCCGACGCATCATAGCCCCGATGCTAAAGAAAAAAAAAAAAAAACACAGAACCAAAAAGAGCATTAATGAACCTCCAGTTTCATATCGTTACATTTAGAGACATCCAGACTCTTATTGTATCGCCTACAATAAAACTAACACACATTCATGGACACACACATTTACATGGCAGCAAGCGCGTAAGTAAACAAGTCCCCAGACACTAATTGATTCCCTGTTAGTGCAAAGAAATCATCCCCCTGTGGGTTTGATTCATGACGTAATCAATAACCTAAGGAGATCCTCAGCATGAGAGAGATAATTAATCACTGTTAACATACATACAAACACACAGACACACACAAATGGGCACTCGCATTGTTGATGTGACAACAGGGATTAACAATGCCAATCACTCAGAGGATACCTGCCACTCAAAGGCTTGCGTGTGTTTGTTTATGCTTTTCTGCATGTAATTATTTATGTGTAAAAAAGACTGTGAGGAAGAAGGGTCTGTTTCACAAAGCAGACTATTTAATTTAAAGGGGTAAGGGCCCTGTCTACACTTTACATATTACCTTCCACCTTTTGATAGACATCCACACAGAAATAGCTTATTTTGACACTGTGACTGGAGATGGAAATTTATATTAATTATATATTAATATAAATTATATATGTATAACGGGTGCAAATTTCTCACGGAATATGCTCAGTTTTCTGTTCCAGTGAGTTAAAAAATAAGAATAAAAGAAAAAAAAAATAGTAAAGAGTAAAAATAAAGTTTGATTAGTAAAAGTAGTAGAGTTTGATACTCTAACAAATCTCAAAACTATCCTTTATTAAATTATGCCTAAGAAAAATTGTGTTTACAAATGCAACACACAATAACCAATCATTGGAGAGTGTTTATTAGAACTTAAGGTGTTGCTCTTATTGGTTTAAAATAAATTTTGGTTATCAATGAATGCAAACTTCTACATAAGTAGATATTATGCATGCAACAAAGATAAGTAGCAATTCATTACATAAGTAGAATGGGGCAATTTGCAGCACTGCTGCCTTGCACCAAGAAGGTCCTGGGGTCTCTTTGCATATAGCCTGATTGTCCTCCCCATGCATGCATAGGTTCTCTATGCATAGGTTCTGAGCGTTACTGCCATTTTACACGTATTTCAGCCCCAACCCGCTCCACTGTGCTGAAAATGTATCTGCCCTCCTAATTCACATCACTGCTCATCTGGGGTGCGAAGCCTGCAGTAATATTGCAAGGTTTTTAAGTAAATACAGCTGTTTTTAGTAAACTATATTGAAAATATGGATCCTGGTATCATACGATTTACTTTTGGATTTCTGAATACTTACTGCAGTCATGTTTTAACATTCAGATTCAAAAATACAATCAAATCGCATTTTGCCTGCATGCTGCATGCAGTTGGATGCAGTTGCATGTACTATCATACAGAGACAATGCAATTGTTCTAACTGGCTATAATTGTAGCGTATTCACTGCATAGCTTACAGCTGGGTGCAGTGGAGGCTATGTAAATTAAGGTTTCTAAATTTCCAAAAGGTGTGCGAGGGGCCAGGTTTTTGTTACCTGATGGGGATTATTTTGTAGGATTATGCTACATTTTGGGGACCTATGGTGTGTTTACATCGAACGCGAACTCTGCAACATTTTCGCCGAATTTGCAAGTTTTTCTTGAGTCATGCGAATTTGCCCAGGGGGCGAAAGGATCTTCTGTCATCGAGTCTGAATGTTGTTGATTTCCACAATGGCAGACATTGATTTCTAGGAGCAAATCGCAGTGCTTTTTGCATTTTTGAAAAGCCGAATAAAACCTTCAACGTCCCTAGGTTCAAGATATTCCGGGTTCTCCTCCAGGAAATACCTACTTCCGAGTATCTGGGACCCACCTTGGGGGCTCTGCTGTTCTGCATTGGTGAAATAATTACCTGGACAACAGAGGGTTAGATGAGATGGCATTCTGAAGCTCAGACAAGAGCAGCGGAAAATCATTG